GGCTGCGGCAAAATGGCAACTCACAGGCATTGCCTCAATCCGTTTCACTCCCATCCATGTTCTCGACGCCCGGCATTTTCCGTGTAGAAGAGGCTTGAAATCTACCGCTGTCTGAGTTCTCGTTGGGACCATGAGCACTAGGAATTGCGTCATAGAACCTTCTCGGACAAGGAAGCATAGTCAACGGTGCACTGCTGAGGCATGAAATCAATCAGGCCCATTGGAGCTGCTTGACTCGAATTGCAACCTCTACCGCATTCGAATCAACCTGGTTGAAGGGCGTGTGTAAGAGAAGAGATCATATCTTGATCTGGTAATCTTCCCAGATCATCGCCTAAGCGGGAACAGGAGGACCCTTGAAACCCTGAAGCTAGCGGGTGGCCGTGCGGTAATCAGTCATGCTGGCGTATCGAGTAACACGATTGCGCCTGTCATGCGTTAGATACCGTGCTCGGACTCGTCTCATCTCGTTCAACTTTGGACGTGTACCGAACCTCGATTAGACGGCCATGGTAGACAGAGCGAACATCCTACCCCTCTCAGCGCCTTCTTCAGAATTTTCGATTCGGGATACCGTCTGGAACCTGCCCCCAGTGTGAGGTGCATGGCCAGGGTAGACGTGTCAAACGTGGCGCGCTAGCGGATGTCTCTTCTCAGCCTCAACCACGATCATCCCAGGCGAGTCTCTGTACCTACGCACGTATAACCTGTTTCCATGCCAGAACCACCAGCCTTCTCGTGGCCTCAGCATTTGACCTTGTCTCAGCTGGGGCCTGTTTCATTTATTTAACCCCACGCTTTCGGATCCTCACCACCAAACCTTTCGACCCCGACGTCATCTGAACAGCCCCTCATTGCCGGAAAGCCCCGGGACACGGCCAAGCTAACAAGCCCCTCCCGGGGACAACACTGACGTGCATGAGATCTACGACAGGGACACCGCGGTTCTCCAAGACTATCTCAAGATTTCGAGTGCTCTATCCAGCCATTCGTATCCACCAATCTTTCACCGTTCGCCTGCTGCACGCGCAGTTTGTTTCGGACGACAGCGCTTCCCTGTCGAACCTCTCGAGTCTAGATGTCTACCACACGAGGCTTGTCCCTGTCAAAAACGATGTCAGTGGCTGGGGTGGTGAGAAAGAACCAAGGCCGAACGAACTCGAACTGTTGGTCGACGCTGGTCGCTACTGAAAAGGGGCTGAGGCAAGGGCCAGGAGGCTTATGGGAGGTAGAACCGGAGGAGGAGGGGATATAATACAGGCTTTGAGCCCAGCGATGCGTTCCTCGTTGACGATTCGACTCCTATATCAGCACCACGTTTAAAGAACACCAAGCGTGGAAGCTGTACCTGAAAACCGAAGTGATCTTCGTTGGCCTTTTTGGCAAATCTCTTCACAATCCCTTTCTCTTTCAATACGGACCCCCCTCCATCTCTTCTTCGACTTACACCCAACTTGGAATACATCATGGCAGACCAGAATCCGGTCCCAGTTCCCGGCACAGCGCAACACTATCCTCCACCGGATGCGCCTGCTGTGCTGGAGTCCAATGTGTATTCTGACGCGGAGCCGTCCCGCAACCCTCATCTCCGCCGCGGTATGATGCGCAGCAACGGAAGTGTCTCTTCGAGGCGCGGCCCCAACACGCCTGGCGCCGCGTTTCGCCGTGCCTCCTCTGAAGAGCCCATCAATCAGTCACAACGCGGCGCTGGCGGCGTGCGCTACGAGACGGACGAAGAGTATAGCGACCAGTACTGGGACCAGTACGGGAGCCCGCGTCACCCTGACTTCCAGGACCCTCCTCACCGGCCCGGCACTCGCCAGGGCCCCAGCCACAGCCGCTCGCAGTCCCGAGCTCGCCCGCCTCGCGCCCATCTCAACAGGCCTTTCAACTACGAGGCGCAGAATGAGAAGGGTGAAGCAACATATGTCGACGAAGGGCACGAAGGCTCGTTCCTCGAGGCCCGCCCGCGGTCGTCGCGCCGCCGCAACGATGAGGAGATGGGTGGCTTCGCACCGAGATATATCGCCACCAATGACAGCGCGCGGCGCATCGACTGGAACAGCCTGACGCGGGACGAGCGCGCCGAGGTGATGCGTCTGCCCTGGACGCAGTGGATGAACAGCGAGGTTAAGAACCACTTTGTGGCGTCGATGGGCGAGTTTGTCGGGACGACCATGTTCCTCTTCTTCGCCTTCGCCGGTACCGAGGTGGCCAACATTCAGTCCAACGTCACCGACTCGGGCGGCAGCGACAGCAACACGACGACGGGCGAGACGACGGGCTTTGACGTCGGCGTGCTCATGTACATTTCCGTGGCGTTCGGCTTCTCCCTCATGGTCAACGTGTGGATCTTCTTCCGCATCAGCGGCGGCCTGTTCAACCCGGCCGTGACGCTGGCCATGCTGCTCGTGCGCGCCATCACGCCCGTCCGCGCGGCGTGCCTCTTCGTGGCGCAGATGCTGGGTGGCCTCATCTCGTCCGTCATGGTCCGCTACCTGTTCCCCGAGAACTTCAACGTCCGGACGACGCTCGGCGGCGGCGCCTCGCTCGTGCAGGGCGTCTTCATCGAGGCCATCCTCACGGCCGAGCTCGTCTTCACCATCTTCATGCTCGCCAAGGAGAAGCACCGCGCCACCTTTATCGCGCCCGTCGGCATTGGCCTGGCGCTGTTCATCGCCGAGCTCGTGGGCGTGCAGTTCACGGGCGGCTCGCTCAACCCGGCGCGCAGCTTTGGGCCCTGTGTTGTCACGGCGACGTTTGACAAGGAGCACTGGATCTACTGTGAGTACCGTCTCGAAGAAAGCAATGATTGTACGAAACGGAGAACATGCTAACATGTGCCAAGGGGTGGGACCGCTGATTGGATCTCTGATCGCCGTCGTGTTCTACAAGTTTATCAAGATGCTCGAGTACGAAATGGTCAGCCCCGGCGCCGACGGCGACCCGACCAATGATCCGACCAAGAACCCCGAGAAGCGCGCCGAGGTGGCCTTTTCGCGCAGCCTGACAAATGCGGCCAAGGTGTGAGCTGACGGATGATTACGATGAATGTCGTCCAATGCATGATGAAGGGAGGAGGGGGCCTCTTAATGAATGATGTGATGGTTTTGATGAGGGTTCCCACGAGTCACGAGAGGTATGAGGCGAAAAAAGAGTGAGCACGTCGCAAGACATGCGGTAGACATTGTTTGCCATTTTGGTGTTTTCGAATTTTGGTTTCTGAATTTCAAGTGGTAAATACAAAGGGCGTGAATGCAGGGTATATAAATAGAAGTCATAAATCTCGCTGAACGCTACAGGGCTTTTCTGCCCATACCCAAACGCCCCTTCCCATGCACCTCATTCCATGCGCCGCTCCCATGCCAGGAGGACTGATCACAACCGGTTGCTCAGGTTCTCGAGCCACATCTTCTCCTCGGGCGTAATGTACATGTGCTCCGGGACGATGACCTCGCCAGGACGCAGAATGAGCTCAAAGTCGCGCCCGTCGTCGCTGCCGCCGACCTCGGTCGTCTGCGACGTGCGCGTGCTCTGGGCTTCGAGGTCGTTGTGATCGGGGACGCCGGCCTTTCCCTCGACAGCAGCAGCAGGCGAAGAGGCGCGGCGACGGGTCCAGGGCCGGGCCTGGGCGTGCAGGTCCTCGGGGGTCCACCAGTACATGGGGAAGCGGCGCTGGACATTGTTGACGAGCAGGGCGGTGACGAGCATGAGGGTGCAGCCGAGCATGACGACGGGGACGAGGAACCAGCCGAGGTCGAGGACGCTGTCGTCGACGACGGCGAGCAGGGCGGTGGCGCCGGCGGGCGGGTGGACCGTCTTGGTGAGGGCCATGAGGGCCGTGGCCGTGGCGCACGACAGGGCGCCGGCGACCCAGCGGACGTCGGCGAAGCGGGCGGCGCCGGCGAGGAGGAAGAGCTTGGCGATGGAGATGCCGGTCAGCGAGGCGAGGAGCTGGCCGAGGATGGCGTTGCGGGGCTGGGCGAGGGGGCTCTCGATCGAGTAGAACTCGAGCACGGCGGCGGCGCCGAAGCTGCCGACGATGATGGGGGCGCCGTGGTGGCGGAAGGAGGGCACGTGGTCGGACACGAGCTCGATGACGGCGATGCCGCAGAAGATGCCGATGAAGGCCCAGAGGATGAGGACAAGGTTGCCCGTGTTGTCGGGCTTGGTCTTGCGGTAGCCGAAGAAGCGGGACACGGGCGTCGGCAGGTGGCGCCAGGGGGGATGGGGGACAAAGGGGTTGATGAACCGATCAATGTCAAAGTTCCATTGTGAGGGCTGTATCCGGGTCATGGTGGTGGCTCTGGTTAGAGGGGGCACACAGCAGAGGAGGGCGAGGCCTTGAACAGAGGCCGGCGATGAAATCTGGGGGAACTGTGGAGGAGGGGCGGAAGACCCGATCGGCCGGTCCCAGCGGGGCACAAGAGGCAGGTACCGGACAGGTAGGGCTGATGGGATGGATGATGTGATCTTTTGGGGGTGGCACTATGGTAACGCCATGGTTCAGAACCGCGAGATAAGGAGCCGTCCAAACGTCGAGTCCCGTGTCAGAAAGGGAGAAGACGATTTCTTTAAACACCTATTGGGGTCCGCGGAGATTGGGACACCAGGAAAAGACGGCACTATGGCGAATGCTCGTCGTGACAGAAAAGTCGTCATGGGTGACAAACAGAAACTCAAAGGGGCTTAGGAGCGTCAGTCAGGCGGCACGGCACCGGCACCGAAAGGGTGCGGCCGTGTCTTCGGCCGGCCTGTGATTCGCTCGCCGTTAGCTAATGGAAATTCAAGTTGTAGGGGTCATTGGGTGCGATGCTGGGGGGGGTCCCTTTCTTTGCGTGTTTCGCAAGCTGGGTGGTGTCATCCTTTGGGGGAAGCTGGCGGGAGAGGGAGCAGAGAGAAAGTGAAAGAGGGAGCTTGCTGAGCTGTTGGTGGAATTGGTGCTGCCGAGGGAGGGGATTCGGCTGGATGGATGTCATATCTGGGTGTTGGCGTTTGCGTCTCGTCTTATTCCCAGACGCCATCGCATTGATGCTTCGACACTAGTCAGCTGCTCTGGTAGAGTCCCTCTGGTATGGTGGCCGGTGAGCGTTCGGCATTCGGATTTCGGGTGATGTTCGTTTGTGTTGGCCAGGGAGAATTATTGCCCTCGCTACTGTCTTTGCTTTGTCTCTCCCGAGAAGGTTTGCCAATACCACAATAACACGGGTCCTCACCGACTCACCGATGCCAAGAGCCGAGACAGGCCGGTCTCGTGTTCTACGTCATCACTGCAGCACGTGATCGTGTCATTCCCAGCTGAGTCACCATTTCGCCGTGGTCAGTGTACCTACCCCTGCTACCTTACTTGTCAGTGTCACGATGTTGCAGTGATCACCATGAGCATGAGTGTATGATGCACATTTACAGTGTTTTCCCCAAGAGGTGAGTCAGGATGAATGCCAGAGTTTTGCCAGATTATCATAACAATGTATCATCAAGATTTACGTGGCCTTCCAGCTGGACAAGCAGACCCTCTGCTGTCACATCCCGATGTTCGTCCGGATCCGCCGTCAGCCCCCCCGAGCGCCACGGCTCGACCTCCGGGTAACTGCGCCACTCCGGCGGCCCCACCTATGCCGGCCTCCGGACACCTCGACACCCGTCTCCGGGCTCGCCTCCGCGTCGTGCCCTCACGCCTACTCGCTCTTGATGAGGTGGTCAAAGTAGTCGCCCAGAAAGTACGCCGAGCGCTTCGCATACCGCGTCTTCTCCGGGCTGTCGAAATCGATCCACGTGGCGCCGAAGCGGTCCGAGTAGCCTGCAGCCCATTCCCGTGCGGAGAGGTTAGCAACATGGTCAACAAAACAAGGATTGGGGAAGACGTATAGTTGTCGGTAAAGGTCCACGCAAAGTACGACTTGATCACAACACCCTCCTGCGACGCCTTGGCCACCTCGGTCAGGTACTGGCGGAAAAAGTCGATGCGGAAGGGATCCTCGAGCACGTCGTCGGGGCCCGTGGGCTTCCAGTCGTGCTCGCCCTGCGCCGTCGTGCCGTTCTCCGTGATGTAGATGGGCACGCCGTACCGCGCCCAGATCCACCGCAGCAGCTTGCCCCAGCCCCACGGCGTCGTGCGCAGCCAGTACGTGTCACTCGCCGGCCCGCGCGGCGTGCCCTCGCTGTTCTCGTCGGCCTGCTCAATGTTGCCCTTGTGGTCGTTGATGTCGGCCGGCCCGTCGCGGTGCTTGACGTAAAAGGCCGAGTACGAGTTCATGCCGTACACCTCGGAGCTGCCGAGCACGAGCCTGCTCTCCTCCTCGGTGAACCGCGGCAGCCGGTCGCCGAGCTGCGCGCGCATCGACGCCGGGTAGTCGCCCGTCTTGTACAGCGGGTCGGCGAACCAGGCAATCTCAAACTCGCGCGCCCGCTCCGCCGCCTCGACGTCGCGCGCGTCGCCGGCGTCCCACGGCTCCGACCAGTTGCCGTGCAGCGTGATCATGACGGTGCCCTTCTGCGTCGGCTGGAACTCGCGCTTGTACACGTCGGCCGCGTGCGCGTGCGCCACGAGCTCCGTGTGCGCCACGATGAACGGCTCCGTGCTCGAGTCGCCCTCGGCGTTGCGCTCGCGGAAGCTCGACCGCGCCGGCGCGTGCACGCCCGCCGCGTACCCGGCAAGCGTGTACACGCCGGGCTCGTTGAAGGTGATCCAGTCCCTGACGCGGTCGCCGAAGCGCTCAAAGCACAGCCTCGCGTACCGCACAAAGTCGCGCGTGAACCGCGCCTTGTCGAGCATGCCGCCGTACCGGTCCTCGAGCGCCTGCGGCGTGTCCCAGTGGAACAGCGTCACGTACGGCGTGATGCCCTGCGCCAGCAGGCCGTCGATGAGCCGGTCGTAGTACGCCACGCCCGCCTCGTTGACGTCGTCGTCGGCGCCCCCGAGCGGGATGAGCCGCGCCCACGACAGCGAGAACCGGTACCCCCGCGCCCGGTACTTTTTCAGCAGCGCCACGTCCGTCGCGTACAGGTCGTACGACCGCACCGCGTCGTCGCCCGTGCTGCCGTCCTTGACCTTGCCCGGCGTGTGCGCGAACGTGTCCCAGATCGAGACGCCCTTGCCGTCCTTGTCCCACGCGCCCTCGACCTGCGCCGCCGCCGTCGCCCAGCCCCAGACAAAGTCGGCCGGCAGCGAGCCGGCGAGGGCGGGGTCAAACTCGAATTGCGATGCCATGGTCGTCTCTCGTGTGCGTGCTCTCTTAGTGATATGTTCTCAGCTCTCTCTCTCTCTCTTTCTCTGTGTGTTTGTGTGTCTCTATCTCTTGGAGGAACAGGGCATCGATCCGATTGAAGTAGAGCCGCCACGTCTATCGAACAAGAACGATCGTCAACAATGAACCCCACAACCCTGTGAGGGGTCGTGGACGAGCGGCGCCCGGGGCATTGCCGCTGCGGGATGTGCGCCGCTTGATTCGTGGGGGACGTTGAACAGTCGACGGCGGCAACCCGTCGGGTCTCGACGACCCTGGCCATCGTGTCGAGTGTCGGCCAACCGACAGCGCAAGGGGGTCGACTCGCCCTCTGCCGGGCCGTTTTCCGGGCCGTCGTTCCAATGTCCTTGGGAACACGCTGACGAGCGGGGTTTGCACTTGCTGCTTGGCATCAGATATGCACTCCACAGACGGTTGTGGGTCGAATGGAGGAGGACAATCTGTCTGTCTCGTGGGAGATTGACGTTCGGAGGTTGAATGATCTATCTACTTGTCACTCGTGTGCGTGGACTCCAGAGACGGTAGAATGCGAGAGAGTCAGAATCGAGTACTCATATCCAAATCTGAGCTACATTTCAGGCTTCCCATCAATCTGGACAAGAGGTAGGGCAGCTCTCACAATACATTAATCTCCAAGCAGCCATCATTGCAGACTTGAACACCAATTTGCACGCCAAAGTCACAGGGCACAAAACTCATGACAGCAATCACATCAATTCAAGAAGGAAAAGATCGTCCTGCTAAAGATCCCGCAAGCCACACGACGAAAACCCACACCTAAACCTGGACACCCGAAGAGTACGCAACCGACTGCTTGGCCTGCCTGTCGAGCTTGTACTGCGCGTGCTTGGCGTCGGCAATCTTGACCGACAGCTTGACGGGGTTGGCGCCGGGCGTCTCAAAGATGTGGTCAATCTCCTCGAGGTTGAGCTTGGACGTCTCGGGGAACCAAAAGTAGGCGGCGATGATCTGCAGCGTGTTGTAGACAATGTAGACGGCCCAGATCTTGTACTTGAGCTTGTCGATGCCGACGGCGATGCCGTAGTTGTGGACCGTGCTGGCGCAGTTCTGGAAGAGGACATAGAGACCTGTGTTTTGCCAACGTCAGAAGAATGCAGCGAAGAGGAGAGGATGAGCAAGACATACCCATGCCCTTGGCACGCAGCGGCAGCGAGAGGAGCTCGACCGGGTACAGGTTGTGCATGGTGGCGATGAAGGACGCGCTGCAGACCTGGAAGCTGAACATCCAGAACAGCACGAGGTACGCGAGGTGGCGGGGGTGGTCCTGCTCCTCAAATTGCCAGCTCGTAATGGTGACGCACGTCTGGGCGATGACGATGCTGATGAGGCCGGCGAAGATAAGGGTTCGTCGACGGAAAATGTCGATAATGTAGGCACCAAAAAGGGTGAAGACAAAGTACGTGGCCACCATGCCGAGGTTGATGAGGAGCTGCGTCTGCTGGGTGTTGATCTTGATCGTGTCAAGGGCGGGCGAAAGGTAGAGGCCGATGATGCCGCCGCCGTTCCAGGACTGGAAGATGGAGTACACAAGCAGAATAAAGGTACGGTACCCGGCGCCCCTGGTGAAGAAGACGCGGAAGTCCCAGACGGCGCGGAAGCCGACGGCCGATGTCTCAATCGACTCGTCCATCTGATACATCATGAGATCGACAAAGGACGAGTTGGGATCGCCCGAAGTCGTCATGTGATCAGCAATGACCTTCCTCGCCTTCTCCTTCTGTCCACTCATCACCAGGAAACGCGGAGACTCGGGGCAGAGGAAGAAGATGGTGCAGCACACAAAGGCGGGGAACAGAGCCTGGATGAAAAAGGCCGTTCGCCACTGCCAGTTGCTGTGCCAGTCGGAGATGGCGGCCATGATGCCGATGATGGCCATGGAGCCGACCTGGAAGCAGGCACCAAAAACACCGACAATGCGACCACGCATGTGAGGGGGCGCGACTTCGGCGATGTACTGACTCGATGTGCAAAGTCTGTGAACACTGGTGTCAGCTTGGGATGCAGTGCCGGAAAAGGAGTCTCTACTCACGCCGTGCCGAAACCAAGGACAAAACGGCCAAAGATCAGGACACCCGTGTTGGGCGCCATAGCCTGGATGATGGCAGCTATGACTGTGAGGGCACAGCCGGCAAAGTTGACGGAGCGGCGACCCCACTTGTCGGCAAAGGAGAGGAACGGGGCACCGACGGTGGCTCCGATCGTCATGAGAGCGTTGATGACGCCGATGATGTGGCCCGAGTTGCCGAATCCGTAGTACTCGTGCCACATGTCGTTGGAGTTGATACTGCTGATGACACCCCAGTCGATACCATAGCTGCACAATTCAGTCAGACAAGCGGTGCAAAGGCAAGGATCCAGTCAGCGACTGAGGACTTACCCAGCCTGGTTCATTCCCATGACGAGAAGGATGAGCACCATGCGGAACCCAGCCTTGGACCGCCAGGTGAAAGCCTCGCGAGACTTGTCATTCAAGTGGTCCTCGGTAATGCGGGTCGCGACAACATCGACGACTTGAACGCCAGTCTTGTTGGCATCAGCCACGGCATCGTGGTAGACGTGGGAGCGTTCGACCTCGTTGCGAGGAGCCATGGTGGGCAACGTCAACCGTGGTTCAAAGAGAGGAGGTTGAAACAACGAGCTTCTGGTAGCTGGGAGGGCAAAGACTAGAACGGCGAAAGGCAAGAGACGCTGAAGGGGAGACAGGCCATACCGTCTGCTATATAGTTTGAAGGATCATCCATCCTGCCCAGCCTTAATAGTCTGAAAAGCTTTGGGACCCTGTCATGCAGTGCAGACATGCCGGGCCAACTGCAATCTGCACAATGCCTGCCATTCAAGACGCGGGATTGGGCTTCCGTGAGGGGAGCGGGGTCTGACTTTGCTCGCGAACCAGGCTCTCTCTCTCTCTCTTCCTTTAGCCAACTCTGTGCCTGGGCCAACCTACCTCAAGCAAGGCAGGCTGAGATACCCCAGCTTTGGCTCGGCTCCAACATGTCGAGCCGACGGAATTGTCACCATGCACATGGTACCAACCAACAAACCCCATGTCGCTTTGCAGTGAATCCAGCTTTCACCCGACCTCACAACTCTCCAGAGCGACAGGCCTAGGTCCCCTGGCGCATGGTTTTCCTGCGGGGGTGGAGCGGCTTTCGATCATGATGATTCGTTGCGGATGTATCTCGCAGGAGACCTAGTCGCATCTGGAGCGGCATCGAGACTGATTGGCGACGAGCCTCTGCGGCCCGGGGACCCCACGAGCCATGGCCGAGCGAATGCCTCGATGGCTTTGGCGGGTCGTCCGGGGGAGTGGCCATTCAGCATCCGTCGTTATAACCGGGACAACAAGCATGTTCGACTGCTCGTCCATCTGGAGATGCAGTATCGAGAGCACCAAGCTCACCTGACTGTTGCATCGCTCCAAACCTAGGCGCAACTGATCGGTCGTCTTGCTGATCCCTGCTGCATCGAGACCCAGTCACCATTAGCAGTTCACCAGAGTCGACCCTCGATCACCAGACCAACCCAGATAGATCCCAGTTCAACCAACCCCGCGCCAAAGTTCCAAATTGGAACAGGCCAATTCCAGATCGACTCGAAAATCACCATCTCTTTGGGGGAAAGCGCATACTGGCAGTCTCTGTCAGCTGTCACACCGGCTCCAGACTCGGGACCTCACCCTACCTGTTGTCAGACGGAAAGGCTCGGCTCCAGCACCATGGACAACAGTGACCCGAACCTCACTCTTCACTATGATGCCCCTGCAGCCTCGTGGTCGGAGGCCCTGCCAGTCGGCAACGGCCGGTTGGGCGGCATGGTATATGGGCGAACGTCGACCGAACTCCTTCAGCTGAACGAAGACTCGGTCTGGTACGGCGGGCCCCAGGATAGGACCCCCCGAGATGCGCGCCGCCACCTCGACACCCTGCGCCAGCTGATCCGAGACGAGAAGCACGCCGCCGCCGAGGCCCTCGTGCGCGAAGCCTTCTTCGCCACACCCGCGAGCATGCGGCACAGTGAGCCACTCGGGAACTGCACACTCGAATTCGGCCATGAGGCGCAGGACGTGACTGGCTACCGTCGGTCCCTTGACCTGGCCACTGCTCAAGCAACAGTCGAGTACCAGTGTACAGGCGTCTCCTACCGACGGGAAACCATTGCAAGTTTTCCCGACAATGTCGTCGCCCTGCGCTTCTCTGCGTCGGAGCCTACAAGGTTCGTCGTCAGACTCAACAGGGTCAGCGAGATTGAGTGGGAGACAAATGAATTTCTGGACAGCATACAGGCCGCCAACGGGCGCATTGTCCTCAATGCAACCCCTGGTGGCAAGAACAGCAACCCGCTCTCGCTCGTCCTAGGCATATCGTGCGACGCCAATGATGAAGGAGGATCAATCGAAGCCGTTGGCAACGCCCTCGTGGTGAAGGCTTTCAGTTGCACTATTGCGATTGCTGCTCACACGACATATCGAAAAGCTGACCCCGAAGCTGCTGCGCGCCAAGACGTCGACAAGGCTCTGAAGCGGAGCTGGCATGAACTCGTGCTTCGCCAGCGGACTGACTATGCCAGCCTCTTTCAACGGTCGAGTCTCCGCATGTGGCCCGCTGCGCATGACCTGCCGACGAACGAACGAATCGAAAAGAATCGTGATCCGGGACTTGTCGCTCTGTACTACAACTATGGGCGATATCTCCTCATCTCATCCAGCCGAGATTCGGACAAGGCGTTGCCAGCGACCTTGCAGGGCATCTGGAACCCATCATTTGCACCACCGTGGGGCTGCAAGTATACGATCAACATCAACCTGCAGATGAATTACTGGCTGGCTGCGCCTTGCAACCTCGTCGACTGCGCGCTGCCCATGCTGGGTCTGGTCGAGAGGATGGCCGTCAGAGGCGCCAAGACGGCGAGGACAATGTACGACTGCGGCGGATGGTGTGCGCATCACAACACGGATATCTGGGCAGACACCGACCCGCAGGACCGCTGGATGCCCTCCACCATCTGGCCCCTCGGAGGCGTCTGGCTCTGCATCGACGTGTTGGAGATGCTGCTGTATCAATATGATCGCAAATTACACGAACGAGCGGCGGTTTTGTTGGAAGGTTGCATCGTCTTCCTGCTAGATTTCTTGATCCCGTCAGCTTGTGGCAAGTTTCTTGTGACCAATCCGTCGCTCTCGCCAGAGAACACATTTGTATCCAAGTCGGGCGACACAGGCATCCTCTGCGAGGGTTCGGCCATTGACACGACCATCATCCGTATTGCTTTTGAGAAGTTTCTTTGGAGCACTGCCATTCTTGACAAGGGCAATCCACTGGTGCCCGAGGTTCGAGACGCCATGGCCAGGCTGCCTAATCTGACGATCAACAACGACGGCCTCATTCAAGAATGGGGCCTCAAGGACTACAAGGAGCACGAGCCAGGTCATCGACATGTCTCTCATCTCTTTGGACTTTACCCAGGCGAGAGCATCAGCCCCGTCACTTCACCGGAGCTCGCAGCTGCGGCGAAGAAGGTCCTCGATAGGAGAGCGGCGCACGGTGGTGGGCACACCGGCTGGAGCAGGGCCTGGCTGCTGAACCTGCATGCTCGACTCCACGACGCCGACGGATGTGGCGTTCATATGGACAGCTTGTTGAAGAGTTCCACGTTGCCTAACATGCTGGACAATCATCCTCCGTTTCAAATTGATGGAAACTTTGGCGGAGCGGCGGGCATTCTGGAGTGTATAGTGCAATCGCGGATCGTCTGGGGAGCATCGCGGCCGGACTGCATAGAGATACGCTTGCTGCCGGCCTGCCCAGATGCGTGGTCGATTGGCGAGCTGAGGGGCGTGCGGGTCAAAGGCGGATGGCTGGTGAGTCTGGCCTGGATAGATGGTCGAATCGAGGAGCCTGTTCAGCTTGAAGCAACCGACCTAGAATGCCCTGAAGCTCGTGTCTTGTTCCCTGATGGTTCGGCAGTTGTGGTAAAGGCCTCCGGGCTGGGAAAACATAGTGTCCGACAGCCATGAGATGGGATAGAATGCAAAATTAGGTAGACCATGATGGTCTGATTCTCGTACCAGGACCGACGGATGATGTTGTTTTCATACTGATAGCCCACCTCCCACGCCGTTTATCGTTTATTCATGGGCTTTGAAGAAGCTTCAGCCACGACACAGCCTCTCCAGTGCACTCAAGCCACCCCCGCCGCCCATGCCCCGCTATTTCCCGTTCGTAGCTGCCCCCAACGCTTGTCGCCTGGCCGTTGTGTCGATCCGCCAGCTTTTGTCGCCCCAAGCCAAGCTTGAGCGGATGAAGTCATCGCAAACACGACATTTCGCGAGGCTGACTTTTGCGACTGCCACCAACAATTCTGTCCGACCACAGTTCTTTGCATACCTTCACTGGCCAAGTCGCACACTCTCGCGCAAGCAGCGCCCCCTTGGCAACCCCTTCAGCCAACATGACGACGTACGGATCATCGTCTCGTGGACAACCTGCCCCTCCGAGTTCAAAGTGTGTAGGCTGACGCGCAGAGTTGTAGCATTTCCAACATTCTCTCCTTGCCTTTCCGCAAATCCAACCACATTTCATTGTCAGCCGCCATCCGACAGTACATCAACACGAAATATGACCAGCATCCAGACATGTTCCGTCAGGACCTGGAGACGATAGATAGCCTCCGTCGCAATGCCGTCAACGTGCGCGACCCGCACCCGAGCGGCATCAAGGAGCTTCAGACCTATGCGGGACAGCTCATGTGGATTGGCGGAAAGTTTCCGATCGATGTAAGAACGGCGCAAACTCTCCAAGTCGTCCAAAGAAAGTAAAGAGCAAGAAAACTGATCGTAGACCACCTTGTTCCTCTGCAGATCGGCGCCGAATTCACGTGGTACCCTGCCCTGGGCTACAACACCGAGCGACCAGTCGTGCGCAACAATCTCAAATACGAGCTCCTGAATATCCTCTACAACCTCGCCGCCCTCTACTCCCAGCTCGCCGTCGCGCAGACCAACAGCGGCCCCGAAGGCGTCAAGAAGGCCGTGCCGTACTTCAACCTGGCCGCGGGCGTCCTGTCGTACATGCAGAAAGAGGTCCTTCCCGAGCTGCGCATGTCGGACCCGCCCGAGGACATGGACACACATACGCTCGAGGCGCTGATTCAGCTTCTTCTGGCGCAGAGCCAGGAGTGCTTCTGGAAAAAGGCCGTCATGGACGGGACGTACAAAGATGCCATCATCGCGAGGCTGGCGGCGCGCGTGTCGGATCTCTACAGCACGGCGGGAGATGCGGCCATGAAGAGCGAGGCGATCAGCTCGTCGTGGATTCACCACATGAGCGCTAAGCATCACCACTTTGCAGGCGCGGCGCAATACCGTGCTGCGTGTGATTGCTTGGAAAAGAAGAAGTACGGCGAGGAGGTTGCCCGGCTGACAGACGCCGTGCAATGCGTCAACGAGGGGTTGAAAGAGGCACGCGGTGGCTATGTCAGCAAGACGATCATCGAGGACCTCAACGGACTGAAGAGGAAAGTCGAAGAGGACCTGAAGCGGGCGGAGAAGGATAACGATTTGATCTACATGGGTACGTCGTGGCACTTGTCTGACGGAAGCCATCAACTAATAGGAAGCAGACCCGGTTCCGCCCAAACCAGAATTAAAGCTCCTCGACCGGGCTGACATGGCCAAGATGACGGTCCCCCCGCAGGTCGCCAACCCCTTCGACTACTTTGGTGACCAGGCCGAGTTTGGTCCCGCGTTGTTCTCCAAGCTGGTCCCCTTCGCCGTTCACGCCGCCATTACCATCTACGAGCAGCGCCGCGATCGTCTTGTGAACCAGAACATAATCCAGAACCTGGAGGATCTCACAGAAAGGCTGCACACGATGCTGAGCTCCATTAACCTTCCGGGCTCCCTACAGGCTCTTGAGAAGCCACTTGGCTTGCCACCAAGTCTGGTACAACACGCCGAAGAAATCCGACAAGCCGACGCGATAGGTCGAATTCAACGCGCATTCTCTGATATCGACAAACTGCGATCAGCAGACATCGCCGTCTTTGATGAGGGCAAGTCCATGCTGGCCGCGGAGGAAGAGGAGGATGCTCGTCGACGGGCCAAATTCGGCACAGACCGATGGACAAGGCCAGACAGCCGCAGCGACCCTCGCGGCGCGCAACTCTGGGCCCAAGTTGCCGAGATTGACGGCTACTTTGCGAGCAGCACCAGCAGCGACGAGGTTGTGCGCGACAAGTTTGGACAAACGCAAGACCTCCTTGAGCTCCTCTCCGCATCAGATCGCGTTCTCATGGATCACGTCCCTTCGAGCCGACGCATGGACATTGCCGAGCCCCTGAAGCCGGTCATAGGACGACTGCGCGGTGCTTACAACGATGTGCTGCGTCTGGAGTCTCGTCGCCGGAAAAAGGTGGAAGCCCTGCGCGACAAGTGTCGAAACGATGACATCAAGCCGGAGATTCTCAAGGAAGCGGCGCGACTCGAAAGGACGTATCCCACCACGGCGATTGCGCCCGCGCACTTTGAAGACTTCTTCGAGAGACGACTGGACAAGCTCTACGAGCCAGAACTCGAAGCCGTCGAGAAGGAGGACGCTGAGCAGGAACGCATGATGACCGAGATTGAGCGCGTCAACCGCGAATTCGAGAGCCAGCGGAAGAGCAGCATCGGCGGAAACCGCGAGCGGGAGCAAGCCCTCCAGCGACTCGACAATGCGTATTACAAGTACAAGGAGATTGTCAACCACCTCGATGTCGGGCGCAAGTTCTACAATGATCTCAGCAAAGTCGTCGGGCAGAACTTCCGGGACCCGGTCAAAGTATGGGTGTCGGAGCGGCGCATCGACGCCAAGAGCCTCGAGGAGTACGTTGCCTCGGCTGGATGTCTGGGATGAGGGAGCTAACAATGCGTTCAGGGAACTCAGCATGCCGCCGCTCGGCTCGCTCAGCATGAACCGAACACCCGTTGCTTCGCCGCCCGTGTCGAGCTATCAGGCCGAGCAGCAGCAACACGCAAACTCGTACTTTGGCTCGAACGCCGGTCCCGCCGCCAACACGCACGCGCAACGACCGCACCAGCAGGTCCACAGCCCACCCGCCGAAGCGCATGTGCAGTCCTGGGCAGGCTCTACTGTCGAGCCGCAGCAACCACACCCAGTGCCGCCCGTGTCGAATATGTGGACGCCGGACATGGGTATTCGATTTGGAGGGCCCGCCGGCGGACATGGAGCGGCTGCGCCGGCCCCGAATCCGCCGGGACCAAGGCAGGCCTCGGGCGGGACGTGGGATCCCAACTCGGGCATTCGTTTCGGCTAGGACGTGAAGCGCTCTCCAAGGAGGACAAGGCATCGAGTTGGTTGCGCGGGCGGTGCGGGGCGATGGAAAGGCAGGAAGAAAGCAAGCGAGCATTGAAACCATGATGAAATCCATGATGACTCAAGACGAAATACAATACATGCATCAAAGCTTTGGTTGATACTCGTCACCTGCGAACAGTGATCCTCACCACAACAGCCCACCCATTCATGCTCTCCCAGAGACCCATTTCGTTCTCCCTCCGAAACGAAACCTCCTCCGCCGTAACCTTCATCTCATCCCCCGTCCGGCCCCCCAGCGCCGGACCCCTCCTCCCATCAGGCCTCAGCAGCCCCGCCAGCCTAATCGCCAGCTCCTCATCCTTCCACCACCACGACCCCTTCTTCGCGCCGCCCCGCCTCGGCAGCATCATCCTTCCAA